AAATAATATATTAGTAACTTTTTGCGTGTTAGTGGTGTTATATATAGACACAAAAAGTATTACGTACTAAGAAAACCTATTATTATTTTATTTATTTCATGCCAATTAAATATTAGAAACAAATATTTAAAAAACAATATTTGAGAAATACTTTCTTTTGATCTGAAATATTTAGCAAACATGTAAATATTTCCTAAATTTGTATGTAATATTTTGTGCTATCTGGGATAAATTTTAAGCTTTTACTTTAAATTGCGCACTTTTTATGCCAAACATCGGTTTAGAAATGTTTAATTTTTGGCCCATATTTATGAAACTATTTGAACGGCTGGAACGTAACTAAAAACTATCGGTGAAATAAAAAAATATACCACTTTAGAAAGAGCTTTTATTACATTTTCAAACAGAACCATTAACACCTACAACTACTAGAATACACTTAAAAGCGTTAATAAATTAAATTGTACGCCAGTCGTATTACATTTACCCTGTTTCAGAGGAAGATGCGTTAATTTTTCAGATAAAATCTAAGCTCGATTCATTTATACAACCGTTTTCAAGAGAATCTGGTAAAAAACCCTAATTTATTGACTTTTTTGGAGCTTTTCAGGTGTTTGCCCATCGCGTTTGCACATAGAGATGATTGTCTCTGTTAAGTCTTGTTAATCTCAAATAGAAAACATTCTTCGTGGCAATGAAAGCATTTCATATTAAGCAAATTCCTTAACTAAGATTCCCAATCACAATTAGATTGCTATTTTAATTGCCTAAACTTCGCGTTGGTAAGAAGTAGATAATAAACGTAAAAAGCAGCATGCAATAACAAAATCGCGCAAAAAATATATCATACACATTCATTCAGTTTGTTCAATATGTTGGCAAATAAGCAAAACTTGAATGAAAACCGTTCTTGCGTAAGACCGAAAAAGAGCGTAAAACATGTCGGTTGATAAGCCGTTTGAGAATTACTCAGTTTGGGCTTTACGAGTCAACTAGATTTGGGTGAAGACATTGAAGGTACACTCAAATGCATATTTTGCCACTATTGTGAAAGAAATTAGTCAATCAACTGGCTGTATTTAACAATGATACGTATTTTTTGTACTTTAAGAGACTTCAATCTGCCTTAGCAGGCAGTCGAATACTGAAATGTTTTACAAACTAGTTCATAAAATAGAATTTCCGTCTAACAGGTATATTTACAGTATATAAAGGAGTAAAAACCAAAACTTGAGTATATAGCTTCAGTTTTATGTAACAAGATAAATACAGTCTTCATAAATGTTAACATAAACATACAATAGCATTTTACCTTATCTAGAACATCAACTATTTTTACATAAAACCTTTTTTTTACAACGGCGAAATACAGTTAGAATTCCAGTGTCACAATTGTCGAGCAAATGATAAAATCAGTGTACATTTTTTTCTTAAATATACTTTTCTGTCGATAACGTTATACATAAACAGGTATAAATAGTGGCAATGTGTGACTAGATAGTAGTTGCTACAGCATGAAAACGACCTCATTTCTCACTTACACTTGCTGGCTGCTCTGGTTCCTCTTCTTTGTCGTGTTTGCGGAACAACAGAGGACACATTCCCAAAAAACAGCCTATCGTCACGCCAAGCACTCGGCCGAAATTGGCCGCATTTCGGGAACAATTCATATCCATCTGGACGGGAGAAAGTTTTGGGGGGCTGAATCCCACCCGGTTGGCCATTCGTTCCACGTAAAACGCGGACCCAATTCCGATTATATCGGACAGGGTGTTACCTAGAGCGGCAGCCCCCATAGTTGTTAAACAGAAATAGGATCCTAAGTATAAGTCGATGTAATCGCCCTGGAAATAATTTTTTTCTCGGGTTCAATCAATGTTTTCAAAGCTGAAAGAGTTGAGTCTTTGTTGAATGCGCAATACTTACAAAAAACAGCATGAAAAAGTTGTCCAAAAATCCAAATCCAACGAAAGGAATGGAATTTGCAATCGCAACTGAAAGGTTTAAATAAATATGAGCCAAACCATCCAGGAGCGTTTATAACTTGACTTACTATCTATGAGATTTCTAGTTGTGGGTCTGGGCACCGACTCAGCTGGAACAAAATGCGATGTAAAAAATACGCAAAAACGTAGTTTGGAGCTTTTAAAGCGCATGCAGAATGGCGTGTGTTAAACGAAGAAAATGCCCGTTTTAGTCTCGCTTACCTAAGTTATTACCTGCTTTCCACGTAGTGGAAAATATCTGAATAAACGTATGGATGTATTAGTAAATGATAAAATCCCGTTACAATGACCAAGAGCAAATGCAAATGAAGAAATGGATGCCAAATGCGGCGCCCACCACCAAAACCTTGCAAAAAACTGTGAAGATGTGCCTACCAAATTTCTTCTGTAACCAATCTTCGGGAAAAGGGCAGTATGTGCCTGTAGGGTCAACGTCGCCCAGTTTGGGCAGTTTGGCAGGCCGCCCAAATTTACTTCTCCATCTCGATGCCGCTAGCTGACCTTTAAATTAGTTGCTGATATGTAATAAAATAAAAAATCAATAAACATAAATAAACCAAAAAATTTGCTTGATAAAAATAGGCGGTGGTTAGTTTTTGCTCTTTACTCGCAAAGGCACCAAAAATTAGGAATGGGTGACACAGTGGATTTTCAGGTGTTCACGCAGCGACACCGATAAGTCCAAAGGAATCGATTGAGCTCAAAAAACACGCATGTGAAATTTTTATTTTCGGTCGAAATTTTCCAAGGATGGAGGTCGATTATTTGGAAAAATAAAAATTTTCTCAAAATGTTTTAAATTTCACATTATTTTCAGCTCACGGACGCGAGGAATGCGTCGAACTCTTTGAAAAACATGGCAGAAGCTTCAGATGCGAAATAATAAACATTTTCGGCACATTTTAAGCGTTTTTGAGCGTTCATGATCTTTAGCCGATGATTCCTTCCTTATTATTAACCCAAACACTTTATAAATGCGTATTTATGACCGTCTTACGTCGAAAGTTATCGATTGAGCTAAAAAAACCCGCATGTAAAATTTTCATTTTTGGTCGAAATTTTCCAAGGGCGGAGGTCGATTTTTTGAAAAAATTAAAAATTTTTCAAAATGTCTTAAATTTCACATTATTTTCAGCTCACGGACACGAGGAATGTTTCGAGATAGTTTCAGATTCGAAATAATTATTTCCAATGTACAGGGTGATTTTACCCCCCTGATTTTTTGTGGTGCGCCACTGATTTCAAACATTTTTTTTTAACTAATTGATCAGTTTAGAACCTTTTTAGCCTCCAACACTTTCCTGAACCTGCCACCGTTTTCCAGCCAAATGCAAATTAAAGAAAGCCGCTTCAACACCCATTGCCTCAGCAAGAAAGCGTTTGCGGACAAATTTTCTGGGTATAAACTTTTCTGCAATTTTTTCGCATTTGCTCCCCCCAATCAATAGAAAGCAGCGAAATAAACAAAGTTTTGTGAGTGTTGTGTAACTTTTGCTGCAACCAAGTGAACACAAAACTGCCAGGGCTTTGTGCCGGCAACATCCTAGCAAAGCCCTCACCTTCGTACTCATCTTTGATCAATTTGGACCTGTACTCATGCAATGCTGATGTTAAAGTGGACCTTTCCTCATCGTTCAGCCTCAGAACCAGCTCCTGAGCCTGCAACTTGGAGAGCCCCTGCAGGGTGCTTGTGGTCTCGGCATGGCCTGCTGTGCCTGCCAGCAGGGAGTCCACACGCAAATTCCGCCTGCTCACCAAATAACTGTGATTCGAATAAGTTGTAATTTTAGAATTCAGCGAACACTCATGGACTTTCAAAGTCCGTTTGCACAAATGGAACATTGTGTGAGATCTGATGTGGTTTATTGACATTGTTCTGGCTGTAAGACGCACTACACTTAAATACTTAAACAAATGTTCTTAGATTTAAATTATATTTAAAAATCGAGTTTGATGGTAAAGGATAGTAGTAACATAACCTAAGATTTGAGGTTGACAAGTTTCCACTGACACACATTGACCTACTTAACGTGATGATTCATCGTTCTATCGACGTTTACCATGACTATGACGTCAGCGGAAGACGGTCAAACGTGGTTGCCTCACTTCCCATAAATTCCTTGCAATATGCAGAGCGGATGATTTATTTTTTGAAGTGGTGCTAGTTCCTCTTAAATTCCATTACTGATTACTACTCTTATTCAAACATTTTATTTTAGGAAAGCGCATGAGAATAATGGCACAATTCGCCGAATTAAACAAATAATAATAGGAGTAAAAGTTGCTGGCAACCAGTTATGCACGATTGTGTGATCTGTTGTAGTCGTCAGCAGCGATCGGCCAACATCATCGGTCACGTGACCGGTTTTATGTCTACGTGTTCGACGTGCAAGCCAAAAATCTTTCAAAGTACCGTACAAAAAGCATTGGCGAATGCCACTTTCTCGAGTCTCAGCCCCATTAAAACACCGTAGACGTACGAAAACGATCATTTATTCCAAGTGCCGTTGGTTCTAAAGCCCTTCGAAATGGGGAGTAAGTATTTGCCCACATTTGCCATCGTTTTGTCGCTTTTATTCCGCATCTAATAACCTCTTAGTTGGGGCATTAGGCGAATTTTTGTGGGCTTTTCTGGCTGCGTGTCTACGTGGTACCGATCAGTGCACTAATTCTGTTGTTTTCATCTTTTCCAGTAAAATTCTTGGAGGTGATCAAGCCGTTCTGCAGCATTTTGCCTGAAATTGCCAAACCAGAACGAAAGGTGAGCATCGCTTAGAAAACATCTGTTTGCTCCTAGTATTTCACACCTTTGACCGATATTTTGGCTAGTTTATATCCACGGGAGATTCAGCAGGGCTTTTCAGCAGTTTATTTCAATATTTTCATTCAAAATTCATCAACAGCTGTTTCCTAACATGCTATGTTAAAAGCCAACCAGTTGAATGGTTTTAAGCTACTACTTTTGAACAAATAGCTTGGTTCCTATAATTTCTGCATAGAAACCAACAGGAAAACCCATGAAGAACCTAATTTTTCCAAAAACAAAGCCATTTTTCACTCAGGCAGGCTCTGCTCTACTTTTACATTCTCACTGCTCAAGCGGAGCTCTTGTCGATTGCATAGTGGTTTTAGGCAGGCAGAAACATTGCAAGGAAGCTTCAAGTCAAAACTAATGATTTGTATTCTTGAAATTTCCAGATCCAATTCAGGGAGAAGGTGTTATGGACTGCAATCACACTGTTTATCTTCTTAGTATGCTGTCAGGTAAGATGGGGCTGTAGAACAGCTTGAATCAGCTCTAGAGAGTACGCAGTTTGATAGATTTTTCGTTAAATACAGTAAAATTCATTGGGGGCCAACAAAGCAACGGTTAACAATCCATGAAAGTCAAAAATTTCACAATTATTTTAGTGTCTCTTTAAACGGAAAATCAATTAAATTATCGTCATCTTCCAATTTGAAAGTGGTTAACTCGACTCAGGAAATAATGGACTTTTATTGACCGAAGATAGTGGCTTTCTTTTATTTATTTTGTTACCAGTTGAGGAGATTAAATGTTTCATATTCATGTATTCTTTGCTTTTGTGTGCATAATAATCTGTTATGATTATTTTATTCGGTTGTTGCTTGCGTTGTTTAAAGTTCTCTTACGCAAAGAGTTAGCGATTGTTACCCACCTTTGCACCTTATTTCTAATTTTCAATCTTAATTTTCATCAATGAACCCCAAAAATTTCCTCTTTAAACACCTTCAGATTTTTGTTCCTTTCGAAAATACTGCTGACGCATTTTTGTTTCAAACATTTCGTTTTTTTTTTTAAATCAAAGTCATGTTCATGAGTCCGAAAGCGCTCTAATTTTCGGTTCAGAACGGTCTCGTAAACCTCATCCGCATGCTAAGTTGGACTTTTGTTTGCAGATTCCACTTTTCGGAATAATGAGTTCAGATTCAGCGGATCCGTTCTACTGGATTCGAGTTATCCTGGCCTCAAACCGAGGAACGCTTATGGAACTGGGTATTTCACCAATTGTCACGTCTGGACTGATTATGCAGTTGTTGGCCGGCGCAAAGATTATTGAAGTCGGCGACACCCCCAAGGACAGAGCTCTGTTCAATGGGGCGCAAAAACGTAAGTTTGGTTTGAAACAAACCAGCTAATTCCTTGCAAATGAAAAATCACTGAAAGTTTTTTGTTCTTTTCAGTGTTTGGAATGGTTATCACCGTGGGACAAGCGATCGTGTATGTAATGACGGGAATGTATGGCGACCCGGCTGAAATTGGAGCTGGAGTGTGTCTACTGATCATCATTCAACTGTTTGTGGCGGGTCTGATTGTGCTTTTACTCGATGAGCTGTTGCAAAAAGGATACGGATTGGGCTCGGGTATATCGCTGTTCATTGCCACCAATATCTGCGAAACCATCATCTGGAAAGCATTCTCGCCAGCCACAGTCAACACTGGAAGAGGAACCGAATTTGAGGGAGCCGTCATTGCGTTGTTCCACTTGCTCACCACCCGCCAAGACAAAATCCGAGCGCTCCGTGAGGCGTTTTATCGCCAAAACTTGCCTAATCTCATGAACCTGCTGGCCACTGTCCTGGTGTTTGCTATAGTGATATACTTCCAAGGATTCAGAGTGGATTTGCCAATCAAGAGCGCCAGATACCGCGGCCAATACTCCAGCTACCCGATCAAGCTTTTCTATACTTCGAATATCCCCATCATTCTCCAGTCCGCTTTGGTGTCGAACTTGTACGTAATTTCGCAGATGTTGGCCGTGAAGTTCCAAGGAAACATCCTGATTAACTTGCTGGGAGTTTGGGCGGATGTTGGAGGCGGCGGTCCAGCCAGGTCTTACCCAATTGGAGGTTTATGCTACTATCTTTCACCCCCCGAGAGCGTTAGTCACATTTTAGAAGATCCAGTACATGCTCTGCTCTACATCGTCTTCATGTTGGGATCCTGTGCCTTTTTCTCCAAAACTTGGATCGAAGTGTCGGGCAGTTCAGCCAAAGACGTAGCCAAACAGCTCAAAGAACAACAGATGGTGATGAGAGGACATCGGGACAACTCAATGATCCACGAACTGAACCGCTACATTCCAACTGCTGCAGCTTTCGGTGGTCTCTGTATCGGCGCTTTGTCCGTTTTGGCCGACTTCTTGGGCGCAATCGGTTCGGGCACGGGTATTCTACTGGCCGTTACCATCATCTACCAGTACTTCGAAATCTTCGTCAAGGAACAAAGTGAAATGGGTGGAATGGGAGCGCTTTTGTTCTAAGGCCCTTGACTGAGCCGCGTGTGATGTTGGTGCCCAAGACGCAAATGTGTGTGTGCGATTAGTAATATTTTTCAATAGATTCTAGATAGGTGTAATATACTGCAAGGGTGTATACAATTCTGTACAAAGTACATGTTTTTTTGTACTGGACTTGTTACGAACGAAAAATATATTTTCATTGTATATTTACATGCTTTTGCGTTTGGTAAGTTAGTTGTATTTTTTATTTTTACATCATTGTCATTATGATTGCATATCCATACGGTTGTGTATGAGTTTCTCGTGTATGAGGAGTAATTTATTGAATAAAGTTAATTTTATGACAATTTTTCATAAAGTTTGGTTTTTATTTCTTTATCCTCGCTTTACCCAGCCAGCGTGAAAATGCTCAAAAAGCAAAAAGTGGGCCTGGGTAACAGTGGATTTTCAGGKGTWCACACGGCRACACCGATAGCGCTTGCCTTATTGATACGATTGATAAWTTTTTCYAAAGGGTGGGKGTCGATTTTTTGRAAAAAATTCWAWTTTGTCAAAATGTSTTAAATTTTACATYATTTTCAGCTCASGGATGTGGGGAATGCATYGAACTCATTAAAAAACATGGTAGAAGCTGCAGATCYGAAATAATAGACATTTTCGRYWCATTTTAAGCGTTTTTKARCTTTCACGATMTTTAGMCGACGATTTCTTCATTATTATTGACCCAAACACTTTATAAATGCGTCTTTGTGATYTTCTTGCGTCGAAAAGAATCGACTGAGCTCAGAAAACCTTCATGTAAAATTTTGATTTTTGGTCGACATTTTTTCTATGGTAAGGGTCGATTTTTTGAAAAAAATTAAATGTTTTCAAAATGTCTTAAATTTTACATCATTTTCAGCTMACGGATGTGGGGAATRCATCGAACTCATTAAAAAACATGGTAGAAGCTGCAGATCTGAAATAATAGACATTTTCGACTCATTTTAAGCGTTTTTTAACTTTCACGATCTWTRGACGACGATTTCTTCMTTATTATTGACCCWAACACTYGMTAWATGCGTCTTTGTGATTTTCTTGCGTCGAAAAGAATCGACTAAGCTCAGAAAACCTTTATGTAAAATTTTGRTTTWWWRAAAAAAWATAAATGTTTTMAMAATGTCTTAAATTTTACATCATGTTCGGCTTACGGATGTRAGGAATGCATCAAACTCATTGAAAAACATGGTAGAAGTTTCAGATCCGAAATAATAGACATTTTCGACACACTTTAAGCGTTTTTCGAGCGTTCACGATCTTTAACCGACGATTTCATTCTTGTTATCGACCCAAACGCTTTATAAATGAATCTTTGTGATTTTCTTACATCGAAAGGAATCGATTGAGCTCAAAAAACAAATCTAAATTTTCGATTTTTGGCCGAAATTCTTTCAAGGGTGGAGGCCGATTTTTTTTAAATTAAAATTTTCTTAAAAAAGTTCTTAAATTTTACAACATTTTCAGCTCACGGATGTGAGGAATGCATCGAACTCAATAAAAAACATGGTAGAAGCTGCAGATCCGAAATAATAGACATTTTCGGCACATTTTAAGCGTTTTTGAGCTTTCACGATCTTTAGCCGACGATTTCTTCATTATTATTGACCCAAACACTTTATAAATGCGTCTTTGTGATCTTCCGTCGAAAAGAATCAAATGAGCTCAGAAAACCTTCATATAAAATTTTGATTTTTGGTCGACATTTTTCCTATGGTGGAGGTCGATTTTTTGAAAAATGAAAAATGTCTCAAAATTTCTTAAATTTCGCATTATTTTCAGCTCACGGACCCGAGGAATGCACCGAACTCATTGAAAAACATGGTAGAAGCTTCAGATCCGAAATAATAGACATGTTCGGCACATTTTAAGCGTATTTGAGCGTTCAGGATCTTTAGCCGACGATTTCTTCCTTATTATTAACCCAAACAAATAGGGTAAGGGTCGATTTTTTGAAAAAAATTAAATGTTTTGAAAATGTCTTAAATTTTACATCATTTTTAGCTCACGGATGTGGGGAATGCATCGAACTCAGTATAAAACATGCTAGAAGTTTCAGATCCGAAATAATAGACATTTTCGGAACGCTTTAAGCGTTTTTCGAGCGGTCACGATTTCTTCCTTGTTATTGACCCAAACACTTTATAAATGCATTTTTGTGACCTTCTTACATCGAAACAAATTGATTGAGCTCAAAAAACACGCATGTAAATTTTTGATTTTTGGCCGAAATTCTTCCAAGGGAGGAGGTAAATTTTCTCAAAATGTCTTAAATTTTGCATCATTTTCAGCTCACGGACGCGAGGAATTTTGGCCCATTTTCGGAAAAATTAAAATTTTCTCAGTGGAATCAGTAGGCAAGTATTTTGAGCACTTTCGTTCGTGCGGCTTTATAACGTAAATAATCCCTGCCGAGAGGGTCAGAAGCATATGATAACTGTACATGGCCTTCACGAACTGCAATCCGAAGTCTTCCATCTTGAATTAAATTAAATGTTAAGTGTTGTTCAAAGTGCCGTGCCGTAAGAATTCAGGCATTAACACACTAGTGTCTTAAGACACACTATTACCCAGGCCTATCAAAAAGTCCACGCCATCGCAACACTGAAAAAAAAACTTGCTGCTATACACGCGCAATTAAAGTTTTTTTCTTTAAAATTTGTTGATTAATAAACGCAGATATTTCTTAATTACATCTTTATCAATCTGTTGCCCTCCGACCTCAGTCCGGGCTTATCCGCCGCAGCGACATTTCAGTTCAGTTAAGCAAAAGTATTAAGACCTAGTCGTATTATCGCGTTTTTACTCCTTTATAACTTTTTATTTTTTTACAATGAATCGAGCTTTAAGTGGATCAGCCTTATATCTAAGGACTTTTCGTCGCATAAACAGTATAAGGTGTTTTAGTGCGGCCAAACCTGATCAGCCGCTGTTTCCCCACAAAGATGAATTCCCTAATCGGCATATCGGGCCTAGGGATAGTGATATTATCGTTATGTTGGATACTATCGGGTTTAAGGTTTGTGCAACGTTTCTAACGAGGAATGAAAAGCTCGATTTTTTGCCTTAAATGAACACTAGATTTTGATGAGCAGGAAAAGTTTGCGCGAGTAATGGGATTTCAAGCGGTAACGAAGCAAAAGTCTGTTTTTTAAAATAGCCGACGTTTTGTCATATTTATTTGCGCATCCTCAGGGCCTCAACAGAACATTCCCCGAAGATGAGAAAATAAATATGGCAAAACGTTGGCTATTTTAAAAACACACTCTTGTTTTTACGCCGATCTAAACCCTCTAACTAGTGCAAACTGTATTGCTAATCAGCCTCGTTCCTAATTAATTATTTTTTTACCTTCTGTGGTTTTCCTTCGTTCTCATCTTAATCGCAGACTTTGGACCAGTTGACCGAACAGGCCGTTCCAAAGAATATTTCCTTAAATAAGCCCTTGGACATTGAAGAACCTTTGGGTAAGAGTTTATTAAATTTATATGCCTTCTAAGAGTTGGGATTTAGCAAGAGTTGGCCGCAAATATGATGAAAAGCGTGTATTTTTTGGAAAATCTTGACTAAAATCCTGTGCTGGAACATGCACAAACTAGTTACTACTTGGGAGTGACGCGAAAACGCATTTATCCATTCTGTTAAGAAATTTGCTGCAATTTATTTCTCAATCAGCTTTTATATTTAAAAAATTACACACAATTTATTTGTGCATTTATTATTGTCATAACACGATAATTAATGTTGATGTTGATTAGTCTTCGTGGGGGTCGAATGAGATAAAAAGCTGTTGTTTTCTGCTTCAGAAGTTAGGAAAATGCTGGTATCAATGACGTCTTAAGCAAATCGTAAAATTTCAGACAAAAATAAAACAAGTTTGCTCTTGTACGAGATCCAAAAACATTACATTTACTTGCATGATTTTCCATGGACTTTTTTTAAAGGGATTTGTTAATGTTTGGCGTTTAAAATTCAATTTCTGTTTCTCTCTTGTTTCTCTTGACGAATTCGTTTTTGCATTTTTTCATTTTGTTTTAAGGCGAATACGAGCTGATTAACCGTATTCGAAGCATCGCCGAACGGAACAAAATTTGGCGATCTTACATCGGCATGGGCTACCACAACTGTTGCGTTCCGCACACCATTATGCGGAATATTTTCGAAAACCCTGGCTGGACCACCCAGTATACGCCTTACCAGCCGGAGGTAAGCCATACAGGGTGTTTGATCGAATGTGGGCTAAAATACAAGGAATTTGAGAAATGCTTATCTAAACTACCATGTTCAGCAAATGAGCAGTTTCCAATATACAGTGCTTTCATGTTTTAATAAAAACCCCAGAGGAACTACCAAACACTCTGTATATTATACCGTGGGCCCCAGAAGAAATAATAATTCACTTAAAATTCAAATGGCTGTTTTTGCTGAAAAAATGTTTTTTATGGAATTGATGTATACAGCGTGGTTCAACAATGCGTTACGACCAACTGTTTTTTCAAATAGAAGCACGTATACCGACCGTTCTTGTTTGCTTGCTTGTTTCAAGTTACTGCTTGCTTTTGGTATAGCGAGCGACCATTTTGGAGAATTAAATTTTACTGGTTGACTGATTTTTGCCAATTTTGAGGCCCGCGTTTATCAACCTGTAAAAATTCGGGATTGTGGACTTTTGTTTTGAAACTTTCAGTATATTTAGACTCGACCATTTTCTCATGGCGAGGAAGATTTCAAGTTGCTGCTTGCAAGAGTTTCGAAGATGCAAATTTTTAAAGAAGGCAGAAACCTGAATTTTGAGATAAGCATTTACTAAGCAAGTAAAAATTTGGATTCTGGCCAGTCCTTATGAAACTTTCAGCATTTTTAGGCTGATGTCTAAGCTGAAGATCGGGAAAGATTAAAGGTGCGACTGGCGTTAGTTTGGAAGATACGAATTTTTAAAAGAAGGAGCGCAGTTTGGTAATGACTTTTTTATCTCCATATTTGATAAGCCGGCAAAAATCAAGGTTCTGGTGGATTCATATGAAACTTTCAATATCAATCTCGATTGAAGCGTTTTTTAACTACGATAAAAATCTACAGTTATAACTTGCCTCAGTTTGAAAAATGCGAGTTTTGAAAAGAAGGTGCGCAGTTTGCTAATAACTTGCATTTTTGTCTCCATATATGCTACGCCAGCAAAAATCAATGTCCTGGACGATTGATATGAAACTTTCAATATCTTTCGATTGAAGTGTTTTCTAAGTACCGTAAAAATCTCCAGTTACAACTTGCTTCCGTTTGGGAAACGCGAATTTTGAAAAGAAGGAGTGCAGTTTGGTAATAACTTGCATTTTTATCTCCACATTTGCTAAGCCAGCAAAAATCAGGGTTCTGGACGATTGATACGAAACTTTCAATATCTTTCGATTGGCGTGTTTTCTAACTACGGTAAAAATATCCAGTCAGAACTTGCTTCAGTTTGGGAAATGCGAATTTTCAAAAGAAGGAGCGCAGTTTGTTAATAACTTAAATTTTTAACTCCACATTTACTAAGCCAGCAAAAATCAGGGTTCTGGACGATTGATATGAAACTTTCAATATCTTTCGATTGAAGTGTTTTCTAAGTACCGTAAAAATCTCCAGTTATAACTTGCTTCCGTTTGGGAAATGCAAATTTTCAAAAGATGGAGTGCAGTTTGTTAATAACTTGCATTTGTATCTCCACATTTGCTAAGCCAGCAAAAATCAGGGTTCTGGACGATTGATATGAAACTTTCAATATCTTTCGATTGAAGTGTTTTCTAAGTACCGTAAATATCTCCAGTTATAACTTGCTTCCGTTTGGGAAACGCGAATTTTGAAAAGAAGGAGTGCAGTTTGCTAATAACTCCATTTTCATCTCCATATGTGCTAAGCCAGAAAAAATCAGGGGCTGGACGATTGATATCAAACTTTCAATATCTTTCGATTGAAGTGTTTTCTAACTACGACAAAAAGGTCCAGTTATAACTTGCTTCAGTTTGGAAAATGCGAATTTTGAAAAAAAGGAGCGCAGTTTGCTAATAGCTTGCATTTTTATCTCCATATTTGCTAAGCCAGAAAAAATCAGGGGCTGGACGATTGACATCAAACTTTCAATATCTTTCGATTGAAGTGTTTTCTAACTACGACAAAAAGGTCCAGTTATAACTTGCTTCAGTTTGGAAAATGCGAATTTTGAAAAAAAGGAGCGCAGTTTGCTAATAGCTTGCATTTTTATCTCCATATTTGCTAAGCCAGAAAAAATCAGGGGCTGGACGATTGACATCAAACTTTCAATATCTTTCGATTGAAATGTTTTCTAACTACGACAAAAAGGTCCAGTTATAACTTGCTTCAATTTGGAAAATGCGAATTTAGAAAAAAGGAGCGCAGTTTGCTAATAGCTTGCTTGCATTTTTATCTCCATATTTGCTAAGTCAGCAAAAATCAAGGATCTGGACGATTAATATGAAACTTTCAATATCTTTCGATCGAAGTGTTTTCTAACTACAATAAAAATCTCCAGTTATAACTTCCTTCAGTTGGGAAAATGCGAATTTTGGAAAAAAGGAGCTTTCTAACTACGATAAAAATCTCAAATTATAACTTGCTTTAGTTTAGAAAATGCAAATTTTTAAACGAGGGAGTTTGGTAACTTTTTCAAGTAAAGTAAATACTTGCTTCATTATGGAAAATGCATGTGAAAAAAATCGCATTAGCAAATAAAATTAACTAGTACGAACTCTTTTCCAAAAAAACAGTCCTTTGCATCTAGACTTATATCTGGGCCTCAGTCAATAATCTGTTATTTGCCACTTTTTGGATTTTGGAGGAAATTTTGCGTTGCTTGTTAACCCAACCCGTTGACTCCTTAGGTGGCCCAGGGCAGACTGGAAGGCCTCCTGAACTACCAAACAATGGTATCCGAGCTGACCGGCTTAGAGGTAGCAAACGCCTCACTTTTAGATGAAGGCACCGCTGCAGCAGAAGCGCTCTCTTTGTGCTACAGACAAAACAAGAGGCGCAAGTTGCTGCTTTCTGATAAACTGCATCCGCAGACCATTTCCGTGGTCCAAACCAGGTAAACTAACAAACTCGCGTAAAAAAACTTGGCATAGTTGGTTGGTTCTGGTCGCAGGTTGAACTCCTTGGGCCTGCAAGTGGAAGTGGTGAATGTATTTGAAGCGGATTTCACCAATCGGGACGTATCTGGGGTTCTTTTCCAATATCCAGATACCGAAGGAAATGTGCTGGATTTCAGCCAAGTGGCTGAAGACGCTCATGCCAATGGTAGGCGAAACTCAAGCGAATCAACTAACACAAATGGGTTCAATTAATGTCAGGTAGTCTGGTCTGTTGCGCTACCGATCTCCTAAGTCTCACGCTTTTGCGGCCACCAAGCGAATTTGGCGCTGACATAGCGATTGGAACGTCCCAAAGACTGGGCGTGCCTTTAGGCTACGGCGGTCCTCATGCTGGATTCTTCGCCTGCAACCAATCGCTGGTCCGCTTGATGCCCGGCAGGATGATTGGGGTGACCAGGGATGCGGCTGGACGAGACGGATATCGCCTAGCTTTGCAAACACGAGAGCAGCACATCCGAAGAGACAAGGCGACCAGCAATATCTGCACTGCTCAGGCATTGCTGGCTAACATGTCGGCAATGTTTGCAGTGTATCACGGACCGCAAGGGCTCAAGGATATTGCTACAAAAATTCACCACTTTGCCTTGGTAAGCTTCGCCTTGTTTCATCGGGGCAAGAGCCCTGAGGCTAGCTCCAAAAAATTGATTGCAATAAAATATGAATTCTCAGACTATGAAGGCTTCACGGCCGGTTAAATCACATTTAGGAATGTTTTCCGGGCTTCGAAGCCGTGGTCTATGGGAATTTCTTCCTGACGTTTCGTCCACAACTGCGGTGGACATTATCAAAGGCGATGAGGCAGTGGGCGAACGGATCTCCCGTGCTTCTCGACTACGACTGATGATCACCAGCCTTAGTCGGAAAGCACGGGAGATCACTTCGCCCATGTATGCTACGCCAGCAAAAACCAATGTCCTGGACGATTGATATGAAACTTTCAATATCTTTCGATTAAAGTGTTTTCTAAGTACCGTAAAAATCTCCAGTTATAACTTGCTTCCGTTTGGGAAAAGCGAATTTTGAAAAGAAGGAGTGCAGTTTGGTAATAACTTGCATTTTTATCTCCAGATTTGCTAAGCCAGCAAAAATCAGGGTTCTGGACGATTGATACGAAACTTTCAATATCTTTCGATTGACGTGTTTTCTAACTAGGATAAAAATCGCCAGTTATAATTTGCTTCAGTTTGGGAAATGCGAATTTTCAACAGAAGGAGCGCAGTTTGTTAATAACTTGCATTTTTATCTCCACATTTGCTAAGCCAGCAAAAATCAGTGTTCAGGACGATTGATATGAAACGTTCAATATCTTTCGATTGAAGTGTTTTCTAAGTACCATAAAAATCTCCGGTTATAACTTGCTTGCGTTTGGGAAACGCGAATTTTTAAAAAAAGGAGCGCAGTTTCTTAATAACTTGCATTTTTATCTCCACATTTGCTAAGCCAGCAAAAATCATGGTTCTGGACGATTGATATGAAACTTTTAATATCTTTCGATTGAAGTGTTTTCTAAGTACCGTAAAAATCTCCAGTTATAACTTGCTTCAGTTTGGGAAATGAGAATTTTCAAAAGAAGGAGCGCATTTTGTTAATAACTTGCATTTTTATC